TAGCCAGCATGGATGTTCTAGAGCAGATATTTAGCATTGTGTAGAGAGGGATCAATCTTCTCATTTGCAGCATCAAGTAATCGGAGTTCCTTAATCTCGTCCTGCCATTTCTCCATCTGTGACTTGTGTATTCTATCAACAAATTATTGTCACATTTAGTATATAAAGCAGATTCTCGTTGTCAGTAATTATTACTATCAACCTCTGTCTTTTTTTGCGCCATCGTAGCTCCGCCCATCTATATTGCTATTTAGCTATGTGCCTCATGTCTGAAAAAATAAATGTGTCTGGTGATAGTCAACAACATTTAGTTCAAGTGCTAGGATGTTGTAGCCACCAGAATCATCAGCTCTTTGTCATTGCAATCAAGAATAATGAGACTCTGAAGAAGCTTTTTGATATTGTAGCAGAAAAGTGTGAAGCTACAGATCCAAATTCCTTGGTAATTCAGTACCTAGTTGTACCTAGCTGCACGTGAAAGATTGCATGTGTGGGTAACGAGCAACGAAGATGTGCGCTTGATGGTGAAGATCCATTTGATATTGAGGATACACCTCGTCGACATTATTGTTTCTCAAAAGGGCGATATTCATCGCTGTCGAAACAACCCCAACATAATTAGGTAATTCTTCACTTCCTCGTAAGTATGTAAATGAAATGCGTATAGTGTGGTTTATGGCCAATCCCTGGGTGTTAATGAGCATAAGAAGCATACACATCCATGAGAAGCATACCCATCGTACGGACCGTGCTCTTACACCGTATGCACACCTTTAGCTTTAGTGTGGGAAGTGCACTATCTATAGTATATGAATGTAGCTATTATCGTACACATATGTTATCTGCACAATTTGGATATACGACTTCAATTGTATGTACAGAGCATAACTTTAGTGCTGCCCATACACTGTAATGATCCTTTTTTTTCGCTTTCTCTTTGTTCAAATCGAAATAATGAAGTAGAGTAGCATGTAGAATCTAATATTTTATTAGTCCCAATCTCAGTTGATGCATGGAGAGACGGTATCCATGGAAATCGATTATGTTAGTTTGTCAGTTAAGGCAGTAATGAGAACACACTTGAATCTGTTAGTGCTAACGAAAAATTGACGAAAATGACTAAAAATGTTGAATATTTGAAAGATGAGGAACCAAATGTGTCTTTTGTGAATATGGAAGACCTAATGTAAAATTGCTACAAACTTGAGGGATGGAAAAGGTAATTTACCCTTTAATTTTGGATAAATTTTTGAAACCCCCTTTGAACTATATGGCCTAATTACCCAAAAACCCTGAGGTATTAAGAAAAAAAAAAAAACATTTGACTAATGGTTGAACAAAATTAATAACAAAGTGTAACGTCTATAATGCTCTTAAGAGCAACTCCAACCCACAAATATTAAAATGAATTATCAAATATTTATTTGATATTTTATATTTTAGTTTGATACCTAATTAAATTTATTTGCTCCAACCATAAATATCAAATAGTTGATAATTAAAAATAAATAATGTGATTTTATATTTTAATTAACACATGTCATTTTCTAATTGACTATTTAGGTGGTTAAGTTGTGTAACTTCTAATTGGCATTATTTATTCCGGATGTATTTTTACATCCAAAAAATTAAAATATCAAAATAGAAACCCATTTGATAACTCCATTGAAGTGGAAAATTTCTAATTTGAATTATCAAAATGGTAGTTAATGATTTTGCCCATTTAATAACTCCATTGGAGTTGCTCTAAGGTAATTGTTTTTAGAAATTCATAAAATTAACAAAACACCCCAACATATGATCAAATTACCAATACCGCGTATCCCATCACATGGACAGCCCTCGCATGAG